AAGCACAGCCTGTGGAAATTTTGTGAATGGTGCAAATGTTTTTGGCAATGCTAATGGCACAGCTGATGGCATGGCACCTTTAGCTCACTTGGCAATGTACAAAGTATGTGGAGCAGATTGTTCTGAAAGTGCAATATTGGCTGCAATGGACGCTGCTGTTGAGGATGGAGTGGATGTTCTCTCACTCTCGTTAGGTGGTGGTTCAGTTTCTTTCTATATGGAGTCAATTGCAGTGGTAGCATTTACAGCTATTCAGAAGGGTATATTTGTGAACTGTTCTGCTGGAAACGACGGTCCTTCCTATGGTTCCTTATCAAATGAGGCTCCGTGGATTCTTAAAGTTGGAGCAAGCACCATCGATAGGAGCATAGCTACGGTAGCGAAGCTAGGGAATGGTTTAACTTTCGATGGAGAATCCCCAGCCTATTGATTTCCCTTCAACGTTACTGCCTCTTGTGCTTTCAGGGGCAAATGGTAAGGCATAGTCGACATTTTGCGCCCCTGGATCATTGAAAGATGTTGATATCAAAGGAAAAATGGTTTTGTGTGAACGAGGTGGTGATGTAGGAAGAATTGACAAAAGCCAAGAAGTGAAAAACAATGGTGGCGCTGCCATGATTCTCATGAAAAATGAACTTAATGGCTTCAGTACCATAGCCGATCCTCACGTACTTCCAGCAACCCATGTGAGTTACCAAGCGGGTTTGAGCATCCAACAGTACATAAACTCAACAACGAACCCAACTGCTACAATCGTCTTCAAAGGTACCGTACTCGGAAAGCTATCGGCTCCTGAAGTCACTTCTCTCTCCTCAAGAGGCCCAAATATGCAAAGCTCAGGGATCTTGAAACCAGATATCATTAGCCCTGGTGTGAGGCTGCATGGCCAGTTTCAGTGAAAAACAAAACAAATACGAACTCAACATTTAACATGATTTCTGGCACTTAAATGTCCTGCCCACACCTCAGTGGAATTGCAGCTAAAGGCTCCCATCCAGAATGGTCTCAAGCGGGTATCAAATCTGACAACAGCTAGCTTGGTTAACCTCGGAGGGAACCCCATTGTTGACCAAAGAAACATTACCGCTGACATCTTCGCCACTGGTGCAGGTCATGTTATACCCATCGAAAGCGAACGACCCCGGCCTCATCTACGATATTCAACCAGATGATTACATCCCTTACTTATGTGGCCTGAATTACACCCACGATGAGGTCGGAACCATTGTTCAACGAACAGTGAACTGCTCCAATGAATCAAAAATAGCTGAAGCTGAGTAAAACTATTAACTATTCTTCATTTTCAATAACATTATCTGCTAGTTCTCAGACATACAAGAGAACGGTAACAAATGTTGGCCCCGCAAGCTCAACTTACACCTACCAAATCTTTGCGCCAACAGGGGTGGATGCAAGTGTAAGACCTGGAAAGATTGGTTTTACAGCGGTGAACCAGAAGCAAAGTTACTCGGTTACGTTTAGAAGCCAGGCAAAACAACACCAACGGCCTGCTATTTTCCCAAGGACTTATCAAGTGGGTTTCTGTTCAACAAGAGGTTACAAGCCCCATTGTTGCCCAATTAAAATGAGAAAATAGTTGGAACAGCTTGCGCTTTGCAGCAACGTAAAACTGAAGCAACCCCATGCAAGGCCAACTTTTCATACGAAAACTTGACAGTACTACTGTAAAGTATTCCCTGATTTACATTCGTCTCTCTGTTTTTCTTCAATAAATGATATAAGTGAAACACCCGATTGATTGAGATTTGAGCATCGTTGCTTTCACCCATTCATACTTTTTAGTGTTTCAAGTTTTTTAAAAGATTCTTGGTCGCTGTTGCGGTTTGAAGAAGAGAGATTTTAAGGCAAGAGTGCTTTTGACAGATTGTGATCCACTGGAAAACAGTATCTGTGAAAGGATTAAAGTTATACTCGAATTTGAGATTATATATTCAATGAACTGGATAGACCATTACAGTCAAGACACGATGGATTTGACAAAGACAATTGCAGTTCTGCTTATAATCTCTGCACAGATGGAGGTGCCATCGATAGTTACAATACAGATTTCTTGATGAAACAAAGATGACTATGCCAGGTGATAACGATTCATTTCTTCTGATTTGAATGGAGAATCGTAGTTTGTGAAGGGTCGATAGTGTTAGAATATTGATCAAGGTTTGTTGAAAGAACAGTACTTTGTAGTTAAGGAGAATTGTTGATGTCCCCTTTTTCTTGTTTGTTTATTAGGAGTTATATGTTACTCCGAACTAACTCTCTTTACATGTTTATATCAAATCTAAAATCATGCTTGCTATGTATAGGTCAACAGAGTGTATAAACATAACCATCAATTAGTAGATTTGGTAAAAACAAATATATCAAGTCATTTTCCATCAAAGATGGATACGATTCACTTCCTATGTTTCATTTTCCTGTTCAACTTTCATTCTCTGATTGTTCATGGAAATGAAAATAACAAGTCTCAGACTTACATTGTCCGAGTTGAGCAGCCTGATGTTGGAGTTCGTGGACAATCAGAAAGCCTGGATGTAGAAAGCTGGCAAAAATCTTCTCTGCCAGTGAGTACTGCAAGCTCAGATACGCAGCCAAGTACGGTTTATTTGTACAAAACAGTCATCAGAGGCTTTGCAGCTAGAATGACCGCCGAGGAAGTACAAGCCATGAGAACAAAAATGGGATTCATCTCAGCACTTCCTCAATGGATACTACAGTAAACAGACAACGCATACACCCCGCTTTTTGGGGCTGCAGCAGGAATTAGGAATATGGAAAGAATCGAACTTTGGTAAAGGTGTGATAATTGGCGTACTGGATGGTGGAGTTTTGCTTGACCATCCTTCATTCAGTGATGAAGGAGTGCCACCTCCACCGGCAAACTGAAAAGGAAGATGTGAATTTGCAGCCTGTAATAACAAGATAATTGGTGCAACGTCCTTCAATATTGATGGAAATCTGACAAGGGGAAACGGGGTTGAACCTCCTATTGATGAAGATGGACATGGGACTCATACAGCCGGCACAGCTGCAGGTCATTTCGTAAATTACGCTGAAGTGCTGGGAAATGCCAAGGGTAAGGCTGTTGGGATGGCACCACTTGCTCATCTGGCAATTTATAAAGTATGTTTTGGAGCAGACTGTGCAGAGAGCAACGAACTAGATGCTGCTATTGAGGAAGGTGTCGATGTGCTTTCAATCTCTCTTGGTGAAGAAGTTGTTCCTTTTTCCAGGACAGCATAGCTGTAGGCAGATTTGCAGAAATGCAGAAGGGGATATTTGTTAGTTGCCCAGCTGGAAATTCCGGCCCTTCCAACACCACATTATCAAATGAAGCCCCATGGCTTCTCACAGTTGGAGCAAGCACCATGGATAGAAAAGTTGTAGCCACGGCAAAGCTAGGAAATGGAGAAGAATTTGATGGAGAATCCGATTTCCAACCCAACAACTTCCCTTCCAAGCAGTAACCACTTATTTATGCCAGCATAAATGGCAAACAAGAGTCGGCATTCTTTGGTGAGGGGACACTGAAAGATATAGATGTCAAAGGCAAGGTGGTTTTATGTGAAAGAGGACGTGGAATAGCAAGAGTTGCTAAAGGACAGGAAGTGAAAATTGCTGGTGGTGCTGCCATGATTCTCATGAATCAACAAGCTGATGCCTTCAGTCTTTCACCTTATATTCATGTTCTTCCAGCAACCCACGTAAGCTATGCTGCTGGTCTGAAGATAAAAGCTTACATAAATTCAACAATAGCACCTACAGAGACAATCTTCTTTAGAGGAACCGTCTTAGGAGACCCGACAGCTCCATCTGTTTCTTCCTTTTCGTCAAGAGGCCCTAGCCTGGCAAGCCCTGGAATTTTGAAACCGAACATTATCAGTCCAGGCATGAATATGCTAGCAGCATGGTCATTTCCTCTTGACAATAACATGAACTCAAAATCCACTTTCAAATTCATGTCTGGAACATCAAAGTCATGCCCTCATCTAAGTGGCATTGCAGCCTTGCTCAAGAGATCTCATCCTAACTGGTTACCAGCTGCCATTAAATCTGCTATGATGACTTCTACTGACCTATTCAATATTGCAGGCAAACCCATTGTTGATGAAACATTGCAGCCTGCACATGTCTTTGCTACCGGTGCCGGCCATGTTAATCCATCTAGGGCAGATAACCCAGGATTCATCTACGATATCCAACCCGATGACTATATTCCATATCTTTGTTGTTTGGGCTACAAGTTGGTATAATTGCTCATAGATCAGTCAAGTGCTCAGAAGAACCTAGCATACCGGAAGGAAAGCTAAACTATCCATCATTTTCTATCAAAATGGGACCATCTCAGACATACACGAGGACAGTGACAAATGTTGGAGTGGCAAACTCACAACATGAAATTAAGGTTATAGCTCCGAAAGGGGTTGATGTGATTGTGGAGCCTTCCACACTATACTTCTCAGAGCTAAACCAGAAGGCAACCTACTCAATAACATTTACTCCACTTGTTTCAACCTATAAAACTGGTGAATACGCTCAAGGGTATCAAATGGGTTTCTGCTAAATACCTGTTAGAAGTCCAATCGCAGTACGGTTGTGTAAAGTTTACACAACTTGTATATAAGATAATTTTTTATCACAACTAATCAAAAGATGCAATTTTGGTGCATGAGAGAGAGAGTAGATGTTAAAGGAGTTGGGGCATGTATTGCCGTTGATTTATGTACAAGTTTGCAATCTGTCTCTTGTAAAAAATTCTACAATCAGTTCATAGAATAACTACATAAGGCCCCGTTTGATTCACGATATAATTCATTTTTGGGAGGAATGTTTTTTCCTGGAAAAATATAACCACGTTTGGATGGCCACATTACCAAATGCAAGGAATGAATTAATACCAACAGTGATTTTCCCCCTGTTTTCCCGGTAATATCTATCCCCCATCTCCTTAGGTATTTCATTATTCCTGTCGTCTAAAATAAACTTCTTCCCACTTCGTTCTGGCTATCGGGATTCATCCCCTTCTTCTTCCTCCTCCTCACGTAGCGTTTGCTTATCACCATGGTTTCCCCTCACTGACTCCCTCCTCCGCAAATTCGTATGTTTCCCATTTCATTTTTTTCCTTTATTAAAATTTCATTTATCATTTTATCATCTAATAAAAATATTTTATTTCTCCTTACTTTTTGTGTCTTCCTTTTTTCCCTTTCATTTTTATTCAATCTCGTATATGTATACGAAATCATTATGAAATTGTTGTTTTTTATTTTTCTGTAAATGATTTGATATTTTTTATTTTTTCTTCTTTTTGATTAAATTGTTGATTTAGTTCTTTGATCTCATACTCTAAAGTTGAAATTATCTCTATGAATTTTGCATTGAATGAATCTATGTTGTAGATTTTAGATTGTTTTGAACACTGAATTTGATTATTCATTTTGTGTGCAGGAATCGTTTCCAAGTCTTACTTTACGAGCCGAAACTTAAGATTTGTAATTTGAGGTTCATACTTCTTACTACTCTTTTTTTCTTCTTTTTCCTGTTTATTATGTTTCATTTATTTCATAGTTTTCGCAGCCATTATTGTTTAGTTGGATCTTAGAAGAGTTTTCATTTCGTTGAGTGACTAATACTGTAATGTCACTTTGAAACCGATTGCCGATATTTACTTAAAAATTTTATTTTTATTATGAAATTAGGTTCATTAGGATTTCTATATACAGAAAAATGCTTTGAACTCATTGAAAAAAGATAATTTTGTTAATTGGATATTAATTTGTTTATCTGAGACTCAAGATTAATATGCATCCTCTTTTTCCTTCAACTTCTTTCATTTCTAACCATAGATGCTGATTCAGCTTAGGCCGATATCAGTTCCAAAGCAACGAAGTTGGCATCTGAGGGGATGATCATGTTTTTCCCCTTAGAAATTCTTTGATTTTTTAAAGCAGATCTAATGTTTCACACGAAGTTCTGAATTGAATGGATTGTAAGCTTGTTGTAAGCAAATTGGTTCTGAATTCAATGCTTTGAATTGAATGGTTTGACCAGGTGCTGTTGTAGCAATATTCTTATACAATTGAAACATTGAATGGAACTGAAAATAGAGATGAATAGCCTGAAAGATGCAGTTAATCGTGTTGTAAAGAAGCAAAAACTGTCTTGCTCTAAAACCCAGGAAGTTATAAACAAGTTTGTCCGAGAAATTGAGAAGGCAATAGGGATGATGCAGTCAACCACCGATGATTATAAATCTGTACTTACTGAACTGAAGACAAAATTGCATGAAATTGATCCACTCATAACTTTGGTAGCTCTGGAACATATGGGGCAGTTTATCATGGCAAATGGAAAGGTTCGGATGTAGTAATCAAAGAGAATTAAAGCCAGTTATTTTGCAGGGAAGCCTTCTGAAAGAGAACGATTGGTAATAACTGTTATCACTTTTCCTTTCATAGCTTTGGTAGCTTGTAATTTGAGGCTTCTTGATAGTTAAAAGAATGACAATTGATTCAGAATAACAAATGATTCACCTGATCATTTGTTTCTAGCTTCATTTGTTCCTTTCATTTAAGTTATCTTTTATCTCTGCCTTCAGGTTTTACTAGGGAGGGATTCTCACACCTGCACTGTCGGAGCATTCGGTCATTTTGCTATAGGAATTGGACATACAGATGCAGGCTTTGTATTAGGCACCGGGAAGCTTATGCTAAAGGCGTGTTAATTATTCTTTGATGTTTTACTTTATTAAAAAATGTGTGTGCGTTTGTTTTTGGTGCATTTTGATTTTTCATTTGGTTTCGTACTTGTATTTGGCTACCTTAGGTTTGTAGCGTAATAGCGTTATGCCCACCATAGAATTATAGATGTTCTTTTTCGAATGAGAATTTAAGGTGGTCCACTCTGTTATCCAAATTCATTGAAGGATTTTCGACGAAGTTGTAGCTATTTGATGAATAGTTTTATCCTTGTTATCCGGTGCTCTAGGCATATAGTTTAATCTGGTAGACCATCTTGGCATATAGTTTAATCTGGTAGACCATCTTGGCATTTTCTTTTGCAAATGGATATTCATGACTTGTATGAGTTGAAGGCTGACACTTACAAAATTACGATTAATTTAGTGGTATATTCTGTTGCATATTCGATTGTGGGTTCCACAACTTTGAGATTTGCAATGGAGGGTGAAATGCCTCCTTATTTGCTTGCAAAAGATTTGATTTTGCAGGAAAAATCGTAATATAAATTTATGAGATAAATAATAATGATAAAATATGCAGAATTAAATATAAATATAAAAGATAAATAAATAAATTATTGTATATAGAAGATATAATAAATATTATATTTTAGATAACAAAAATAATTTACAATTTTTTATTATTATGAATATCTATGATAAATTATTTTATATAGAAGAATGTAAACATTGTCGATTGAAAAATACAATAAACCTCACAGTGAATGCGTCACATATGAACCGAAACTAATTTCCACAATGTAAACATTTAGTTAAATATTGATTTAAAATTTTAATATATTTTTACATAAATTATGTAAAATTTAATATTAATTAAAATTAAAATAATACATGATATATTTAAATACTCAAGTAATATATTATCAACAAATAGAATTTTTATATAAATAATTTTTATTTAAATATTTAGAATTTCATTTGTTAAAAAATATAGAACAATGACAATTTGGTAAAATATACATTCCAGTAATCTTTTATTCCTTCAACCAAACACTGTAATCTTACATTTCTGCCAAATCAACCAAACATTGTAATCTTACATTCTCAGTAATTCTATTCTCTGGTAATCTTACATTCCGTGAACTAAACGCACCCTAACTGGGTACAACATGACAAAATTATGAGACTAAATCGCATCTTAAGTATCAATCGAAGAACAATTTTTACTTGCATTAAATAACCACCTTGAGGTAATCTTGAGCTCCATCATATGCAAATGTACAAAAGAAGAAAAACCATGCACCTCCTGAAGTGGAGCTGGAAAAAAAAACCCTAGGGTGAGTTATGCTTCCTCTTGCGAGAACGGCCACGGCCAATTGCCAAACCCGAGTTTCTGCAAATGCATCAAGCTGAGTACAAATGCAAATAATCAAATTGAAATATTCAGTACTAAATTTGTATAACTCACGAATAATCTCCATGCTTTCCACTTGTCGCCTCTTGTACCATCTGAGATGGTGTCGTCACCTGCCAACAACACACTACTGTATTAAAAACATTAGGTTCTGTATACACGTCACTGTTATTGTGCAACAATACAAGACCACGCTATGGTGTATATAACAAATCAAAAGTACCAACACCCAACTGTGGGGCCAATAAAACTTGAGTTCATCTGATTTTACAAGTTCCTTCAGAATTCTTTTGCTGCTCCTAGGGCAATAAAGGGTACAGGACGAAGTCCAGACCCTGTACGAAAGAAAATCTAAAGAGAGCACATTTACTTCCTTGCATACACGAGTTGAGATAGTTGTCTACCGCTAGTGTTTCGTAACACTAATACAGTCAATCAAACAGTCCAAAATAGGACCCCAGGCAACTTGACAGATGCTATTAGCCCGTGGTAGGAATTGTGTGAGAGAATGGGAGAGAGAAAAGTTGAAAGGGAAAATAAAATCCGGCGAGGTCTGGAAGCCTTTTGTTGATAATCTTAGCAGGAGAGTTTCTCGACATGAGCTAAGGGACATATTTTCGTCTCAGGGAATTGTGGAGAGAGTTTTCATCCCAAAAGAAACTAGGAATCCAAAATATAGATTTTCCACTTTCGCATTTGTTTAGTTTGAGAGGGAATCTGGTTTGAAGAGGGCAATCGATATGTTAAATGGGTCACTGATAGATGGTAGAAGGATTAAAGTTGGAGTGGCAAAATACACTGATGTTCGTCCATGAAAAGACGTAAAGAGTAGTCCAGTTAAGATGTCTCCAGATTCGTCTACAGCAGGACCTTCAAAGTCGAAAGATGCAGATTTCTTCAGCAGGAGTGTTAGGGATGATAGAACGTACAAAGATGCTTTACTGACCAATGATACGAGGAACAATGCATTGGGGTATAGGGAGTTATACTCTGATGGGAGTTACAGGGAGAAGGCAAGGAAGAATGTTCTGGAAATGCATATTCCTTCTGAGATTTCGAGTTGGGTTAAAAGATCTTTAACGGGGATTATTAAGATTTCTTTTGATTTTAAGTCAGTTCAGGAGGCTTTCATTGATAATGGTTATGAAGTACAGATCGTTGGTTGGGGTTATGTCTGGAACTCCTGTGCTATCATATTCAAATCTCATGAAGAGATGATGAAAGCATGGACAAAGAAGAAAGATGAAATAGGCTCCTCGTTTGATAGATTGGCTCTTTTAGTGAATGGAGGAGTTCCAATGGCTTTTTGCCAGGTTGAGTTATTTGGAGTTTTTCTGTTATGCTGGAATGAATCTTTTTTGGAACGAGTTGCAGGGAGATGGGGAAGTATGGTAGAAATCCATGATTCCACTAAGAACAGGGATGATCTCACGTCTGCGAGGATTTTTATGAGAGTTGCAAGTCCTTTCGATGTTCCAGAATTCATTACCCTTGGATCCTATGGTAGATCGTATAGAGTCAATATCAAAATTGGATCGGTCTATGAAAATTCAAAACCTTATTTCAAATTTTCTCCGGTGATCGGAGCAACTGGGGAACAGTTTGGTGAGTTGAGGTCTGAGGAAGGTGATGATAGGGAGAAGTCAGAATATGAGGAAAGCTCAGTCAAATCAGCAGAGTTATCCAGACAGAAGGTTAACTTGTGGATCGATGATGGTGTCTCTTTCGGCTCAGCACAGTCTGATGGGGAATTATACTTTCCAAGATTTACTAAACATGGTAAGGGCATTAAAAGAGGATTGTCAGGAGTTTAGAATGGTGGGAATGTCAAAGTAGGTGATTTTGCAGGTCTTGGTATCAAAAATTCAAATAATACGGTTTATGGGCTAGAGGCCCAATCCGATGATGATATGCTGTCTAGGTTGGTGGTTTCTAAGATAATTCCATCTGAGCCAGCTTATACAATTAACAAGTTTGGTAAATTGGTGCAGAGCAGGGGAAATGCAACGTCTAGCAGTGTTAAAAAACAATATAAGGGGTCCAACTTTATTTCAGTTTCATCTGACAGTGAAGATGTTGAGGTTTCTAAAACTAATTTTACGCTGATAGTTCCTAATTCAAATTTATTGGAGAGCCACTTAAGAGGTAGATCGATGGTGGTGCATAGAAGCTCGTTATCTACAAAAAGTGAGCCTTTAGAGAGGAGGAAAAATGGCCAATTACAGAAGAGTTTATAGAAGATGTAGGGAGAGGAAATATTGGCATGAGGAGAATCAAAAGGGAACTAATGTTACAATGGATGGCCTAGATCCAAAGAAGGTTAATGATCAGTTCTGCACGTCAGTTCAACAGATTTCTACACCATCAGAGTTTAATTTACAAGGCAGTGAGGAGACAATTAGTTGAAAAAGCTGGGGTTAGAAGTTTTGATGGAGAGCCAGAGGGTTGTGTTGCAGATACACATTTGTCCAAATCCAATTCTAGTATTTGCAGGAGAAGGGCAAAAAGATTATTGGTAAGAGAAGCTCTAGAACATGTTAACATTCTTACAGCTTCTTCAGGTTTTTCGGAGCTTTTGGATGAAGCATTAGCTACATGGCAAGTTAGTCAGATTTTGGGGGTTTCCTTTACATAAGGGAAGGAGGCTTTTCTGGAAAAAATAATTAAATTAGAGAAAGGCTTGAATATGGACAATTGAGTTGCCATAGTAGGGAAGTCAGATTCTTCCATTATTATTCATGAATGATAAATTAACAATAATTTCATGGAATGTAAGGGGTTTGGGAAAAACAGAAAAACAGAAAGCAGTTCATAGATTAGTTTCTAGCACATATCCTTTTCTTTGGTTACAAGAAACTAAAGCAGAGAAGATACAAAGGTCATTTTTGAGAAGGAATGGGTTGAATATTTTTCAGGGTGTTATCGAATCTCCAGCTATTGGTTCTTCAGGGGGTTTATTATGTTTTTGGGATGACAATGTGTTTGAGATGGAAAATCACAGCATTAACAGAAGATTCATTGCTGTTGTGGGGAAATTCAGATTGAATCAATTCAGAAGTGTTCTTATAAATGTTTATGGGCCTTCAGTGGAGGAAGAAAAAGAAATTTTTTTTGAAGAACCTAGTGTATTTATTTATGGACAGAATCTGCCGGTTTGTGTTGGAGGGGATTTTAATGTGTACTTGTGTGAGGATGAGAAGGTGGGTAGAGCTCAGAACAGATTCTCAATGAGGATTTTCTCTCAGTTTATTCAGTCTTCAGGGTTAATTGATATGCCTTTGAATGGGGGCAGGTTCACTTGGTGTAATAACCAAGATGATCCAACATTTGTTAGATTGGATAGGTTCTTGGTGGATGGGCAGTTTTTGGCTACTTTTCCCGAGATAACTCAAGTCACTTTTTCCTAAATCCATTTTAGACCACAATGTTATTTTGTTACAAGATGGAGTTGATTGGGGAAAAAAGCCTTTTAGACTATTTGATGGAGGAACATGGTTTTAAGGAAATGGTCAGAAATACTATCAAAGATTGTAAGTCGCTTGGGAGAAAAGCTGGAATCCTTAGTATTTTGAAGAACTCCAAAGCAACCATAAAAAAATGGGCAGGGAAGAAAAACCAGTTTCCGAGAGCTGCAATCTCAGACTTAGAAAAGAAAATTCAAAAGTTAGAGGAGGATGCCCAGCAGTTGAATGATATTTCGGTTCAAGGGATTGCTGATGAGATAAGGGTTTGTAAATCAGAACTATGGAGACTTCAGAGAATTGAGGAGCAGATTTGGTGTCAAAAGTCTAGAAAGAAGTGGATTAATGATGGGGGGACCGAAACACAAGATTCTTTCATACTTGTGCTTCAGTTAGAAGAAAACGAAATGCGTTGAATGCTTTAGTAATTGATGGAAATATTACTCATGATCCAGTTGTTATCAAGGCCACTGTAAAAGATCATTTTTTTCAAAATTTTCAATGATCGAAATACTTTAGACGTTGAAGAAATTAGATTGGCTTTTCCTAGAATTTCCCCCGAACAAAGCATTCTTTTAGAGAAGGAATTTTTCGAGGAGGTTTGGGAGACTCTAAATTCTTGTGATAGTAATAAAGCTTCGGGGCCTGACGGATTGAACTTGGGATTTTTTAAAAAGTTTTGGACTGTTCTCAAGGGAAATATTATGCAGTTTTTTCACAGATTCTATGTGGGGAAAGATTGGGAGCATGGCATTAACCATACTTTTATCACCCTTATTCCTAAGGGATCTAACATTGGGAGCCTTGATGATTATAGACCTATAAGTCTAGTAGGAGGAGTTTATAAGATTTTATCCAAGTGTCTTTCTAGGAGGCTTAGAAGTTGTATAGGAGATATAATCAGCCCGACACAATTTGCTTTTGTACCCGGACGACAAATTTTGGATTGCTCTCTCATTGCTAACGAGGGTATTGATTATTGGAGAAAGAAAGGGCTTAAGGGTTGTGTGTTTAAAGTTGATTTTAAAAAAGCTTATGATACGGTAGACTGACCTATTTTGTTCAAGGTGATGGAAAAGATGGGTTTCGGTTCTACTTGGATAAGGTGGATCAAGAGATGTGTTTCTACAGCTTCGATTTCAGTGTTAGTAAATGGGGTCCCATCCGAGGAGTTTCCAATGGCCAAGGGTCTTAGACAAGGATGTTCACTCTCACTTTTGTTATTTAATCTAGTTGGGGAATTGTTGAATTTATTAATCCGAAAGGCTGTTTCGGAGGGATTATTTTCTGGTATGATTGTTGGCAAGGAGGAATGGTCCTTTAATCTTACACACTTTCAGTTTGCGGATGACCTAATTATTTTTTGTGGAGCCTCGAAGACGCAAATTATGAATGTGAAGAGGGTGCTAAGGGTATTTGAGGTTATGTCATGTCTGCAACTAAACTTTAAGAAAAGTAGATTGTTCGGGCTTAATATTTCCGAAGAGGAGGTTAAGACATGGGCAGATTCTATTGGTTGTATAATTGGAAACTTCCCATCTAACTATCTAGGCCTCCTACTAGGTGCTACTAAGAATTCTTCAGTTATTTGGGAACCAGTGGTACAGAATTTTCACTCTAAATTAGCAGGTTGGAAGGCTGCTACTCTTTCATTAGCAGGCAAACTGGTATTAATCAAATCGGTTCTATCCTCACTGCCTACGTATTATTTGTCTATGTTCAAGATTCCAGCTTTAATCCTTAAGTCTCTCAATTCAATTATGTCTAATTTTTTTATGGGGAGGGGGCAATGGTATTAAGAAGATACATTGGTTTAAATGGGATGATGTCTGCAGACCGAAAAATGAGGGAGGCTTGGGAGTTCGGAATCTGTCTAGTATGAACAGAGCACTGATAGGGAAATGGTCTTGGAGGTTTGCAAACGAGAGAAGTTATGTTTGGAGGGAATTTATATGCAGCAAATACAACATTGATTCATCAAGGTTACTGTTTGATAGCAAGGTTCCACCTAAATCTTCCTGGTTATGGAGAACAGTGGTTAACAACTATTACAAACAAGACTCCTTTGGCTCTAAGTTTCGTAGTTTGTGCATTTTTCATGTTGGGAATGGTAAGCATGTTTGATTTTGGCAGGACAGTTGGGCTGCTGATTATTCGTTCCAGATTTTGTTTCCTAGACTGTTTTCGCTTTCTACTAATAAATATGGAAAACTCTGTGAGTTTGGGGAATTTCTTTCATCAGGCTGGATTTGGGATGTCCAAGAAGAAATTTAAATGATTGGGAGCTTGAACAATGGTGTAATTTGGTGAGCATAATTTATTCTTTTTCTCTGTCTAAAGATTCCAGTGATTGTTTGATTTGGAAAGGCAGTGGGGATGGCGTTTTTACAGACAGTTCTTGTGTCAAGAGATGTGCATTAGGTTCAGAAGTTGTTCATTTCTGGAATAATATTGTCTGGAGAGGATTGGATCCCCCTAGAGTTGAAACTTTAGTGTGGCAAGTTGTGCTTCATAAATTAGCTGTTAAATCCGAATTGGTTAAAAGGGGTGTTCAAGGTATTGAGGATGTTTTATGCCCTCTTTGTAGAATGGTTGAAGAAACTTCCTCACATTTATTCTTTACTTGTTCGGTGTCGTGGTCTGTATTGAACAAATTCCTAAAATTCTGGAGGTTCAGTTCTGCTTTACCTGCAGATGCAAAAAAATTTCTTCTAGCATGGGACGAGTTGAAATCTAATTATGTAATATGGACTTTCATTCCTGGGGGCTGTTATTTGGACCATTTGGAAAACCAGAAATTCTATTGTTTTTTAAGGGGGGAAGCTTGATCAGACAGAGTTATTCTTCTTAACAAGAGTTAGGCTTGCTTCTTGGTTCTTAGCAAAGCATAAGGATATTTCTATTCCTATGGACTCGTTGATTTCTGATCCTTCATTAGGGGATTCTTATTCGACCTATAATTTCTTAAAGTCTTCTATAATCCCTTGGTCACCTCCCACTATGGGTTTCATTAAATTGAATGTGGATGCAACCATTAGCAGTGATTGGAATAAATCAGTTCTTGGAGGTCTTTTGAGGGATCATTCTGGTGTAATCCTAGGTTCTTTTCGGGTGCCTTCTGGTTCGGGACCTCCGACTTTGAAGGAACTTATAGCTATTCAAAGGGGCATTTTATACGACCACAAAGAAAGTATCCACTTAGTAGAAAAGCATAAAAATTAAACTCAAAACAGAATATTAAATAAAGCATAGACAGGTTCCCTATACCATTTCAAGGAAATAATCCTCAGTCAATATACTAGCAAGAGGGCTTTCTGCAGATAAACCCCAAGCACCAAAATGAGTAGACATATCATGATTTACTTGTAGATTGATAAGATTTCTGGTGACGTCAGAATTTTTCATACTTGCAACTTTTGGTGTTCCCACAGTGGTAGGAAAATAGTTGGTAGCCAAAGTATGTGAATAAAGAAAGGGATTATAAGGCATGGGTGTACCAGCCCAAGACATGTGCAACGTAGGCACATTATAATCTTCATCTCCTAAAGAATATGGAGATTCTAGGCAAGGCCTTTTCGAGGCTAGATCATCCCTGCTAAAACCATTCCACTATGAATTCATAAAATTCATCAAGGTTCACGAATTGATTTCAATAGAACCATAACTTGAAGATACCTGTTCAGTGAAACATCCACATCATTACTCACATCAAGTAGCTCACAAAGAGCTTCGCCTATATCTTGAGGTAATTCCTACAAAGAAAATGTGAATCGGAATCTTAGTGTAAAGGGGGGATGCTTATCTAAGAAAACAAACAAACAATACCATCTAATATAAGGGAAACCTGGCAATCTCTGCTGATTTTGACTGGTTTGTAGCCATTCAATGGGTTCTTAAGGTGTAGAGTCTTTTGGAAGGGCAGGTGATTTAAGCAAAGCCATTTGACCTTAAAACTCCGGCCCCAAGGTTTACCTTTACCACTTCCTTGTCTCCAAACATTATCTCGTCTCCATCCAACAGAAGATATCATTTGGGCATAACCTTGGAAGAAACCACTCATGTTGACACTAAATATCAAAATAACACTGCCAGAATTCTGCAATACATGAAAACCATCCAGTATAAAACATGTAAAAAAAACACACAAATGATTGCACATCATTAAAATAAGAGGGATTTTACATGAAAAGCTTCTTCCAGAATTGTCTCATTCATGACCAGAGTAGCCCAAATTCCTTTTTTAATTGATAGCTGAATATTTTGGTGGTTCAAACTTCAAACTCTTAATAACGAAATATCTTGTATTACACAATTTGCCCCTTTTGTCCGCCACCTTGGAATGCTCTAGTTCTTGTGACCTAATGGGATAGCCATCCTCGTTCTCTACAAAGCCAAGATTGACACTTCATGAATAAAACATGAAAATATAAATTCATAAAGGCAGTTACCGTATTACTGATTCTGTAGAGTATGAGAACTCACAACAATGTGTCCATTAACTATACTGATTGTAACAAAGCTTCGCCACCAGGAGAAATTTACCAAAACAAGAAAAAGCTATTATTTCACTCCATTAACAATGCATAATATCCTAAATACCGTATCACAAAGAGAAGTGAACAAGTTTCAATCCCGCTATCCTGCTTGTTTCCTGTTTAAAGTCTTATCTTTACAGTTTACACAACCATGAAGGAAAAAATAGGTTCACTTTTCATGGATTCACATGCAAGAAAATAAATTATGATGACAGAGCTATGATACAATCAATGATGAAAATAAAGGCGGAACAACAAGTTTTACCGTAATCCATTTAGATGGCTACAACACTTACACGTCTGCAAACCTGATAAACATCGACTGTTCTTGTTGTTTATCCATGTCAGAAAACCCAGAGTTATTTTATTTTTCTTGCAATGAAGTGTACTATAGATGGATATTTCTTATTAATAGCATAATAGGGCTTCAAAATTATGTGTCCCAAAGAGCCATATGTTTGTTCTGAGCAAAGAAAAGAGGGAGGGAGATCATCAAACTTCTTGTATTGCCTTAAGATAATTCCTACGCTTACAACCAAAGAACCGAAATCGTGTTCCAAGATGCAAGCATATATATATGGGAAGACTAATTGCTCAGCAGTCAAAGGTAGAAACATATGGTGATGAGTTAAACAAGAAGAGCATGAACCACAAGTTTACCTAAATCATCTGAATTCCGCAAGTCATTTTTCCATTCAGTCACTGACGAATCAACTACAGATGCATTTTCTCTAGCAGTATTAGAAGACATGTCCTTATTCACCTCCAATTACCATGCACATGAATATAAAAAGTTTGAGCCAGACTCTGCAGCAGGACAATTCAACTGTAGTTGGAAAAGTAAAGTTTAGCAATCCTATTCAATATAAACAGTGCTTAGTATCAAGAATCTCTACCATCAGCAGAAGTAAGTGGAGATATATTTCAGGTAGAAGGGAAAAAGTAATAAAAGTATAAGAAAACATAACTCTTCTATGCCAAACACGAACTATTACTTCAAGTAACCTTCTGGGAAAGTGAGATACAACTTTGAAGTTCAATCAAATTGCAAAAGAGTGAGAGTTAGTAAATTAAAAACTAATTACAAAAGATGTAGTAAAATTAACCTTCAACGTTACGGAAGTTTCAGAAAACAATTAAAAACTAATTGCGTAAAGGAATTCCTCACATATTCCTTCTACCATTGTTTCTCAGCAACCATGCAGAAATAAAACGAAAAAAACCAGAGCGGAAAGAAAGAAGTGAAAGCGAGTACCTGTTTGAGAGGGAAAACCAAACAGAAAGCGAAACAGGAGAGAGTTGAAGTAGAATTACCAAGTGATTGCCTTAAGTCTTTGTTTCTTGGCCTAGCTTGTAGTAAATGAACCCTAATTTATTTTCAATTTTCGTTTCTCGGAACTGAACCTTACAAATTACACGCTGAGGGTATGGGTATTCTGAAATTTTCCTTATCCTATTGGCTGGACTTGAGATTGCTGATCCAGCAGCAGCAGCAGCTTTAGAATCAGAGAAGATGGGTGGTGGACAAACAGAACAATCGTGCGTGCGTGATGTGCGTAAAAAAGATTCAAACCGGCCCAATTCAGTTTAGACCCAGGTGCTAGATATGGGTCACCATTGTACTGTATCATTAGCCATGTGTCAAGATTTATCATAGACCATGATATTGGGCAAAATTGGCCTATTAGAGCTGGCGACGTAATTAATTGGCCCATTAGGCCTAATATTTTAATATATCTTCGGAGACTCATCACGTCGAGGTTATGATTCTGTTTAAAATATTTTTTTTTCAAAATTAAGGAATAATTTTTCAAAATAAATTAATTTTAAAAAATTAATGAACTTACGTCTGCATGACGAGTTTGAAGTGAATTTAAAATTAAGTAGATGTTTATAGTTGTTGGGCAACAAATAGATTTTTAAATTTAAAAAATATATACATTGGAACTTGTCACACCGACGTGATGAGTTTAATCGAATTTCTTTTAAAAAATATTTTAAAAATAATTATTACAAGCGAATTTATTAAAAAATTAATAATAAAAGTTTTCTAAACTAATACAATCACTAAAAAATAAAAAAATAACATATATTTTCTTAATTTTTGACGATGCATAGGAGTGGTTGAATAATAATGGCGTGAAACTCGTCGATTTTTTCGGGGTCGTCTGCCTTGATCGTCTTCATCTTCTTTTACTTATTCTTCAACAGAATGTGTAATAAACATCACTCCACTTTGATTTCCACCTTCGACTGATGATGATGGAGTATTTAAGATATTTAACGACATCATTGATGTCATTGACTCGAATTGCCCACCAAAATCATTATCTCGTTGATCATATATAATATGATCGCATTCACCCAAACGTTCTGTCGAAGATGGTTAAGCCCATTGCATTGTATCCCATGAACCTCTAACTTAATTTGGAAGGATCTCCTTTGAAGCATGATATGGAGGATAAAAACCATAACTCGTTTGAGATGTAAAATATTCAATAGAAGCAGAACCAGAAGAAGAAGAAGATGATGCTGATGATTTCTTGCCCTTTGCGTATTTGGCCTTCATTTATTCCCATTTGGCCCTATATCCAGTGTTGTTAAATATGGTTTCCTATTTGCTTCGTAATTTCGGAGGTAGAGAGATATTTCAAAATCAAGATTAGCAGCTGTAATCCCAAAATGCATAGGTACAGATGAATGTCGTTCATTCTATTGTTGAATGTATACAACTTGCTTCATCGACAAATTCTCTCTATGATTCCCATATGTAACACCTTAATCTAGTCTGATCCGAAGATCCATGGATCACAATGCCACACAGAACCACTGAAATGGTCAACTCAAATTTTTTTTTTCAAAACAATTTATGTTTATCAAAATTATTCATTATACCATAAGTGGAATCGAATTAAAGTTTACAAAATACGAGTCTCCCAAATACGTACAAACACAACACTTAAATTTAAAATCAAAACAGAGTTATGACTCGAATAAGTATAAGGTCCATATAAAATACATGCCCTCTAAAATGGACTCAAGACATACTCTTCAACGACTGATCTGGAATGTACTAATGCGATAGGCTCCTTGACGATCCCTCTACTAACCTGCGTACGGAAACACATTCCATGCACTGAGCTCACAAGCTTAGTGTCACGAGAATAACTATGCAATACTACATGCATCCATTACATGAACATGTCAGTGTGCAAAATCATAAGCATGCAAAAGTACATAACAAACATGAGATAGGCCGAGTAGTGTGGTCGGAGGAATTTACGTGCATCTCGGACCACACACTAGCCTATCTAGAATGTGATGGTTTTAGGGTAAGAACCAAAATTTACGTGCATCAGAACTTATAGCCTTTATTCTATCTCGGATACTCAAGAGGTCGGGGTTAGGACCATAATTTACGTGTATTAAAAGCTCACATTCCTAACCTAGTCGAGCATAAGGTACGATTTTGGAATTTAAGTGCATCAAAATTCGTATCGGTACGACCCAAAATTTACATGTATCGGATGCATTCCAACAAACAATATATGGATATTCACAAACAAAGAAAGGTCGTCATAATGCTAGAGTAACTCGAGTGTCCTGATCGTTTCCCGAGCATCATATAAAGACAAATCTTATGTCATCCTAACTTGCTTGATTTCTAGGTGAGGAGCTAGTTAGCTTGATTGTTTTCACTTGTATCAAATACTTGAAGATTGAATGAACCAAAAACACCCAAGCCCGAATAACCAAACCGATTGAACCAAAATTTGCCAAAAATCACCATGGGTACGATATTGTACCAACAGTATTGTTACCGAGCCCTTGAGTATCGATACCAAAATTAGCTTCGATATTTTGAAAAATACATTGGTATCGATACTTCTATGAGACTATCGATACTCTACCCTAGGTATCGATACTGCCATGTGTATCGATACCAAATTTGGATTTGATGTTTTCAAAAATGTCTCAGTATCAATACTGACCCTTTGAGTATCGATACTGGACATCGAGTATCGATACTCCTTTAAGGGGTATCAATACTCACCATAAAAGTTACCTTATTTCTACCTCTAATGAAGAACAGTATCGATAATATTATTCTAGTACTAATACCGACGGATCTGTGTCTCTATTTTAAGCACGAAATCACACACAATTCTCACCCTTTCACTCCCCTAAGACTAGAAAACATTTCTAAAGTCTTATTTGGTGTCTTAGAGGTCAAAAGGTACTAACTTTCATGCTTGTAAACATCACATACGAATTTTACCATGGATTTACTCTAGTATGCTTTCATGAACAAACAAACCTTATATGTGCATACAATGCTCTACATGTCACATGAACAAGTTAGAATCGTGTTACCTTGATGCTAGGTGACTGAAAACGTCTTTGAATTACCCAAGAATGAGTTTTTCCTTGCCTTTTGCCTTAGAGTTCTCACCATTCTCTTTCATTAATTAAAATAAGAAAGATGAGTTATTAACTCATTTTGAAGCTTAGGGAAGTGTTAAAAACAATCCTACAACTCACAGCTCTCCCAAAACGGATTTACACCCCAAAGGTTTCTCAAACCCCACTTAAACCCATATTTTCTAACTCAATCGAAATGTGTAAATGGGGGCTTGAATTGAAGCTTGAGAGGTGATGATTGTAGTTCTTACCTTAGAATTCTCAAATGAGGGTTAGGATTCTTAAAGCATGGACCTTTGTTTGATTTCTTAGAGAGGGAAAAATATGGAGAAGTGGGGAAGAAACGACAAACAAATGGGTGAAAAAGAAATGAAGGGGTGCCAGACGTGAGATCATATTTCATAAATGGTTTTTAGCTTTGATTCAAATAAATGGGCTACTTACCCACCTAGTCCCTCCTAATTTGGTACACTATCAAAAACACCCTTTTTAATACTTGTTGGGCTCATGTCAATCCCCATATCAAATGCTACTTGGGTCGAACTCTTCATGGGCTAAGGGGATTTATCCCAATGTCCAAATCAAATATACCCGAAACTCCTAACCTGGAATTCGGGGTGTTGCACCACATGTATCAATTCTATGGAGCTCGTCCATCTCAAATATTTGTATAGGAATCGGCTGATGGGACGTAAATTGGCGCAACACTCTATCTCTGACATGCATCTCAAGAATCACAAAATGAAACAAAGGCGTTACGACACACCACAACTTTGAATCTTAAAAAAATCCGGGTGACAGTAACCTGTAGATCTCTGACTCACAATAAGTATCCAACAAAACTGTAAATATTAATTACATTACAAAAATTAGTATACATTATAAATAAATAAAAATTAAAATATTTACTAAAATAATATTTACCGTGTGTCAATTGATGATATCGATCCTCATTTGTATATCAAATTTTGTTGCACCCGATAACTTTGTCTTAATAATTTTATGTCTTCATCCAAATAATATAACATAATAAAAATTTAAAAATAAGCATAAAAAATAAATTTAAAAATTTATTAAAAAATAAATTTAAAAAATTACTTTTCAGACAAAGGAAACTCAACGGGGACTGATGTAATTGGCGCCAGAAAAAGGAACTGATACTATGCTCAAGACTATAGCAAAACTAGGCAACCTGCTACATCGGCTTTTTGACCCCTTTCAATGATTGTAGCCTTGCAAATTTCTCGGAATAAAAATGCTAAAATAACTGAACCCCAACTAGTGTTACGACACTCAGTGAATTTATTCAATATCGGAAGATACTGGGTGTGTGCCTAATTCTAAAATTTATAAGGCAACGATATCCCTCCAATCAATCGGAGAAGATATGATCGGATAACAAATTTGACCTCATCCTCGGTAGAGTCTTTATTCACTTGAAATTCAGACTCTAACCAAGTCATCCATATCCGCATCACATCTAAGACATCTGGTGGTGGCCTCTTTCCCAAAACTTGCTCAACAATATTGAATCGGTTGTAAGTGTTGTGCCTCATGAGTGTTGCACGATTTTTTAGAACACAGAGTTGGTAAGCGACATCTTTCAGCGTATTCGTTACTTCACCACTCAAAAAATGAAAAATATGCATTTTGGGCCTTTAACATTCAATCAACGCCGAAATTAATGCAAGGTTCACCTTAAAACCATGAAGAAATGTGGTTAGATACAAGCAGAATATTGTAGATATATAAATAATATGCTCATGTGGATCTTTGTCATTCCTCGCTAACGAATGTCTCATTCTTCTTCCTACAATATCAATTTCAACCAATTAATCAAATTTTCAAAAAAAAAAAAATTAATAATTTGAAATATTAAAAATATAAGAATTTTTTTTTGTTCGAAAGAGTTCAAGCAAGAAATATGGACATCATCAACGCGTAACATTTCATCTCATGTAGACAGTTTAACAAGAATTCTTCAAAAAACAAAAATATTTTCATAAGAGTAATTTTTTCTTCTTAACAATAAATAATAAAACCCTAAACTCCAAACCCTTATTTATAACACTAAACCCAACGACTATAAACAACTAGAAATTTTAAAAAAATCCCACAGAACTCGTCACTTCGACGTAACGAGTTCCAAAGTGACCATTGCTTTTGGCCGTTGCTTTTGATCGTTACCCAATAACTATAAAAGATTAGTTAATTTTGAATTCCTAAATAAATCTTCATGTCGATGTGATAAGTTTTGATATTTTTTTAAAATTTTATAAATTAATTTTTTAAAATTAAAAATTTATATTTTAAACGAACTTATCACGTCGACGTGACAAGTTCACAAAAATATATTAAAATATTGAATTCTACGGGTCTCACTCACCTGGGCCCATTTAAATATATTATTTGGACAAACTCGTTACGTCGATAGGACAAATTTACCCCATCATTTTTCATAAATAGCAAAATAAAATTTTGGTCGGCTTAGTGGGCCAATTAATTATACCGCCTAGCCTAATAGACCAGTTTTGCCCATGATATTATCCTCGCAATAATTCCATAGTGGATAGATTAGATATAACTGTGATCCGTAGAATAGACGATCCTCGATGATATACTATGTCTTGAAAGCATTATGTAGGGACAATCAAGTGGGATGGCGATATAATTAGGTGATATGAGATAAGATGTTTCTAAAATAGCCATGGAGACGGACGCCATGTTGAAAACGTATTGTCGATTAGGGTATTCCAACGTACATTAGTGTAATATCTGATAAATTTGTTTAGTTTTTTTTAAAGAGAAGTATTACGATTTTAGGTCTTCGCCATCTTTTTATCTTGTGCTAGTAAATAAAGTTATCATGGTGTATTCGACCTACTCCTAAGTTCACGTAGAGTTTAGGTGTGCGAATATTGTGACCAAATTGATAATACAATCTCTCTCTAAGAAAAATATCTAGGGACGTTTCAAGACTTGTGGGTTTCGTATTGTACTCTTGAACTCTTTTGTTAGGTCTCGTGAGATCTTTCATACAAGAGTTTTTTATTATTATTATTAGAATCATATTGTGACGCGTGTAGATGATCGTGAAATCGATTAGATTACTATACAAACGTCCCTGGTTAAATAATGTATGAGTTTATGATTTGGTTAATTTTGACATATCATTAAGGGTAAAATTAGTTTGTTTGAGAAATACCTCTTTCAACTATTGCACAACATACAATCGAGCTGATACATTATGTCCGTTAAACTATGAACCATACATTATGGGATTGGGCAATGCGTAGGGATGGATCCAACTCGGCTTGTTGGCCAGAAATGGAGAATACCTGCTTGGTTTGAAGGTAATGTCTTTTTACTCTTTGCTTCATAAGTTTTGCACCTTTTTTTCATTTTAAAATGTGTAACCCCCTGAGGTGCATTTCAATGAACTCCCCACCTCCGTTGGTTCAACAAACAGCTTAAGGAGGGAGGGGGAAAGAGATTTGCAGAGAGAAAGGAGACAAATTGAGGAAGATTTTAGGTAAACAAAGTTGGCTAAATTTCACAAACACGTAGCTTAACATAAAGAAGCAAATCAGTTCCCATTATTCAAATAAAGCAGCAATGAAAAAACAACACACCACAAACCAAGACAGTTAATATAGCCATCAGCAGAATTCAGATAATGTAAACTGAAAACACTGGTCTCAGTTAGACAGATCATCCTGTGTCTTCCTGAACAGCTTGTGCTCGATATGCTGAGCAAAGGTACGAGGAGGGAACAATGGAGGCTCCGTCTCGGACAGTGTCTCCGGGAGTGGCTTGAGGATGATCTTATCCTTTGGCGGTTCACAGAAAACTGCCCATGAGATCCTAACCTTCTCCTTATTTACCAGACCCCTATGGAGAATGCTCTTGAACTTGCCGTTGCTGAGGATCTCGATGGTGTCTCCAATGTGCACGATGATGGAGTTTGGAACACATTTAGCAGTCACCCAATTGCCTTGGTAAAACAGTTGCAGGCCAGGAACCATGTTGTGGAGGATGAAAGTGAGTGCACTTACATCCGTGTGAGCTTCGACACCGAGAGCGAGTTCCGGTTGAGGGCATTTGGGGTAGTAATTGATCTTCATTTGAAGAAGAAGCTCTTCCAACCCACCAACTTCCTTCTCTAACCTTCCTTCTTCCAATCCCAAGCAGAGTGATAGTGCCGAAAGAATTTTGCTGGCTAGCCCTCTCAGTTGCCTTGCATACTCACTCGTAACTTCACTGCGTTTTGTATTAACTAATTAACATCAATAATGAATCGTTGTTCAATTTTCCTAGGTAAACAAAGTTACACTTATGAATCCATTGAGCAGATTCAGGGGTAGAAGGAAGCGTTATTCTCCCTAGAGGTCCGGTCCGGATTCGAATATCCGAGTTACTAATAAAAAGAAGCTAAACTTACGTGTAGTCGTTTGGGGTTTTAGGCCAGATGGACAAGTCTCTTTTGTCCTCAGGAAAAACAAGATGGAAAAAGTAATCTTCCCATTCAAGCTGCCCACTAGCATTGTTAGCAAGCTTGCTGCCGTAGCCCTGAATCTTCCCTGAACCCTGGTCGTTGGCATACTTCTCTTTCTCCTCGATGGGAAGTTCGAAGAATTTCTGCCCAGCTTTCCTGACACGATCCATGAGGTCATCGGAGATTCCATGGTTGACGAGGTGCATCACTCCCCACTCCGTCGCAGCTTTCTTCAACTCAAGCCGACATCTCTCGTGCGCCTCCTTGTCGTCTGAATCGATCTCCTTTAAATCGATGGTGGGAACCTGAGGCCCTTCCTCTTTTTTCTCTTCTTCAAATACGTTACCTACAAGGACATACTCAAGATGTTATGTTAAAATACGTTACCTACCAGGAAATATGTTAGGAATTCAACTTCTAAAATACAAAAAATATATATATATCTAAAATATAATACACTTAGAAATTTTCAGAAGTTACGATCTCAACTACTCTTCTCGATTCATCCCTGATTACCTATGCTTGCAAGCTCTTCCTGAGGTCTAATATACTCCTTTGGGATTGATTGAATCCCGCTGCTTGCCAAGCTCTCGACTCTGGGTGCGACTGAAGTCCCCATTTCCAGATGTCCAAACTCAATACTTCTGGAAAAAAGTTGTGTTGTGTATTGCAGATTATATCAGAATTACACTGTAGAGCAGGGCTTTTTATAGGGCTTCCGTGGAAGAAATATGCTAGAGCTAAATATGAATAAAAAAATGCGAAATGAAGCAAGGAGTTGGTGGGTAGACTGAAACCATTTTTGCAGGAAGTTGTGCACGTGAGTGAGTGAGTAGCCATGGTCAAACTGAGTTGACTGGAAGATAGGAGATTAGGCTTAATGAATTAACACATACGTGTAAAATTCATTTAAAGTTCATCTATTTTTTTATAACCATAGGTATCCGAACTATTAATCGACTAATCTGGATCGGGTAAACAAGGACATTCCTCTCAACCCAATTTACTTCATTCGTAATCATTAAGATTCAAACCCCTAACCTTGCATCTAATATTTTATCCTGCCAGACCTTAGCACCTTGCTTAAAGTTCAGCTATTAACATATTAATATTTATATATATAATAATATAACTATAAATTGTACCAATAAAATGAACTGTCACCTTAGCTGTTCATTCTTCTTTTTTCAAGGAAATAGAAAGCTTTTCCTTCAGAGAGGAAAACGAAGGGAAAAAAACAGAGTATGTGATTGCCAAACTTTCAACTACCAAGGCAGGAGCTGCACGTTTCATCTAACCATCTTTGGTTATTTTCAAATCTTTATATTAAATAATAATACGCATTTAAATACGCCCTATTTTTCCATACACGTTCGTTAAATATTAAGACTTCAAATCTTTATATTAAATAATAATACGCATTTAAATATATTTTTATCAAACATTTAAATATATTTAAATTCACATTCTCTTTAATATTATTATAATAATAATCATATTAGTGTTATATTGATTTCAAAACTAATTACTTACCATAGAGTATTAGCTCAATTAAAATCTCACACGATCTAAGTTTAAATATATATTTAGCTATAATTAGCTTGAATTTATAAGTTTAAAAAAAATCTTAGTGTTGATTTGATTTTAAAAAATATAGGTTATTTTTATTTTTATTTTTCTCGAAAATAAAAAATGTTGAAGAAAATGTGTTTGGTTGTAAAATTAGAAAATGATTTTCACGAAATAAAAACAAAAATAAGTAAAAATATGAAAACATAAAAATGATAGTGTTTTCATTAAAATTATTTTAAAAATTTGAAATATAGAAAAATATGAAATATAGATTTTTAACTTAACTACGTGGTTTCAAATCCTTCTAACAACAATTTATTGATTTAATAGTATCTAAAACCCTCAAACTTTTATAAGAAAAATCAATATCATCCCTACACTTTTTTTACACTTAATGTAGTCCTTAAATATTTTTTAATAAATTAATTTTATAATATTTTTATATTTAAGATATTAAATATCTTAATAATTGTTTATATTTTATATTTTAAATTTAAACAATTCCTTAATTTCTTTAAAAAATTAAACAAGTCATCAATTTAAAAAAATATATTAAGCCCTTGAACTTAGTAAAAAAATCAATTAAATCAATCTATCACATCATCTTCTATCATGTATCACCACAACAACATCATGAACTGTCACATTAACATTGTTGGTTATCATGTAAGCTTTGTGAAATGTCATGATGGTATGATTCTATTAGTCAAATGATTAAATAGGCCCTCAAACTTTATTGTTTAATATTTGCATAATGCACATATTAAATTTATGTAATAAATGTTTTTAATGATTGTATATTAGTTTAATTATTTAATAACTACTTATTCATCTCTATTTAAAAAAATAGAAATCAAATATATTATCACTATTTTTATTTTTGAATTCAAATGTTCATTTAAATTAATAAAATCTAATAAAATTGGATTGAATAGGTTTAGATTAGGTAATCTAATAAAATCTCTATCTTTGATATGCCCTCGTAGGATAGAAGATCCATCAAAGACATCAATCTTGAATAGAAATTGAAGAAAGAGATTTTATCCAAGCGGTTTGATGAGAGTATCCGTAATTTAAGCTTTGGATGGAATGTGTTGAACTAGAAATGAACTCGCAACAACTAAGTTATGAACAAAGAAGTAATCAAGTGCAAGATGTTTTATACAAGAATGAAAGACTGAATATTACAAACATATGTGACACTGAGATTGTTACAAAAGAGAGATAATGATTTGTTTAATGCCACGTTAATTTCCATAAGTAGATGTTGAACTCAAAGAACTTCAACAGTTGCATTTGTCACAACACGATATTCAACTTTTGTGGAAGAACGAGAGATCGTTTTCTGACAAGTTGACTTCCATGAGATGAGATTAGAGCCAAGATAAATAGCATATCCAATAGTATATTTTCCATCCATATAGGATCCACCTCAGTTTGCATCGTTAAAGGCATTGAGATGGAGTGAACGGAGACAAGATTTTAGTTCAAGGAGGCAAAGTATAATTAAAAATAAAAAATGGGGCAAAATCAAAATAAATCAAAATTTAAAGGCCTAAATAGATAATTATCTCTATATTTTTTATTGGTAAAAAATATTTGTGGGGAGTATGAGTGGCCCCTAAAGGGCCTGCATGGCTCCGTCCCTGGGAATGAAGATGTCGCGCGAAAAAAAATGTCATGACATAGTGTACCTTTGAGATAAAGCAGGATACGTTTAGCTCCTGTCCAATGTACAAGTGAAAGACCATGCATGTATTACAATTCACAATTAACAATAAAAGCAATATTCGAAAAATACGATATACTAAAGAAGTCCAAGTAATCTTGGATACCTCGAGAATATCTAGCGACATAGATGACTCAGGTAGAGGTAGTTTGTCTGAGGAAGACATAGGTGTTGAAACTGCCTTGAAATGTTTCATATGAAATTGTGCCAATATGTCTGAGATGTATTACGCCTAAGATAGAAACAAACCAGCTAGAGTGGAAAAAGCTTCCATGCCAAGAAAATGGTTAAACAATCTCATATCTTTTAAAGAAAACTTCGTTGATAATAAGCTAGTGAAATGAGCAATGAAGTCAGTACTATTACCAGTAACCACATAGTAAAACATAGTGTTGAGAAAGTCAAATAGAATGAGCTAGCTTTGAGAAAGTCAGTAAGATAGTCTATACAAAACGATATAACACAAATAAGTCTTCAAATATAGCATCATCACATAGTGTTGAACCATGTTTTATAATATTTTGATGTAACAAATTAAGGCAAATTGTTTTTCGGACTTGATTGAATTTGTTCAAAGTTTTCAAAAATAATTCAAAGTACTAGAATTTGAGCACAAAATAGTTTTTCTGGGTACGTAGTACCTATACTGTTCTTACAGTATCGATATTACATGAACAATACCGAAAATGTTCATGTGGTACCGATACCAAAGGTAAGAGAAGTATTGTAATATCCCCAACCCGTACCTGACCCGAATACGTGTCCGAGGTGTCACATTGACCTTTCAAACTTTGACTTTTAAAGAAAATCAGGGAAATTTTAAACTTTCATTAAAATAAAAGTTGTTAACTTACATAAGTTGACTAAAATAATACAAAATGGATCAGAGCATTCGTAACCACAATTTCATACATCCCAACACACTATATATAACAAAATACATACTTTGTCAGTTACTTCTGATCTGATCTTCTAATAAGGTATGTTGTCCGTGCCACTCCTAATTCTGGTCTTCTTTCTTCTTGGTACCTACGTGTAAATCACTTACACGCTAAGTCACAGACTTAGTGAGGCATAAAAATAAACACATAACAATAAAATCATGAACATGTACTACTATCAATCTCTTATGACATTTCAATGTACATGTATATACTACACTATAACATATATAAATATGATATGCACAAATGAACTTTAACTTCTTATAAGAGTTTTCATTCAATTGTCTTTGGATGCCCATGTACATTATTGAGAACAGGAGGTACGTGAGTACATTGAGGTTGTGCACGAATGCTGTCACCACAGCTCAAATAAATTCCCACTAGGGGCGCTGAATGGTTTTCCCGAAGGACCACTATGTCTCGAAGGACCACTATGTCCCGAAGGATCACTATGTCCCAAAGGATCACTATGTTCCGAAGGACCACTGATAATCCCTCAACTCTTTGCATGCCAATTATACCTACAACTCTCATATCATATAACATGAGCTTAAATATGAATACATTTCTAATTTTCATGTGTCTCTTTTATCACTTTTCATATAAACACATAATTTACTTCCATGCACACATATGATCACTTTCATTATTTCACATACATAGATTGATTCTCTTATAGTTGCATTCATTCATATAATATTATATTAAAGCATGAATGAATTATGCATGAAATCACTATATCCATAATATATATATATATATATATATATATATATATATATATATATATATATATATGTATATGCATGTACATGAATATAAAATCATAAATTCAACTATAAGAGATAGATTTATCGCAAGTCTTATCTCCATACAATTCTATTTAGGGTATGCATTCACCTTAGCCTTGCTTGATTCTAGCACTTTCTCTCTCTCGACCGTTTCTAATTCTTTAATTGTTCCAGAACAGGTTTACGTTCTATATCTACATAGTCATACATTGATACATATCAGTATTCTAATTGATATATTCTAATCTTCCATTTCTTAAACTAAAAGAAAGGCTACTTTTATTTCTTATTTAAGGTAGGTATCGATACACTCTATAGTGTATCGATACACCCCTTAACATGTGTATCGATGCACTACTTATGTATCGGTACACAAATTATATTCGAAAGATTTCATCTTAAGGGGGTATCAATACACTTCCTATGTATCGGTACACTTTGAATATTTTTCTGTATTTTACTCTTGATGTATCGATACCTATTGAATATGTACCGATACACCCCAACCCAGAATTCACATTTTAAGCACAAAAATTACTTCATTTTTGGCTCAACACTTCATATTTTATTCCTTCACCTATCCTTAACTTACCTACTCATACTTAAATTCATTTCTACTCAATAACCCCCTCTATAACCTCAAAATCCTATCTT